GTCTGCCTGTCCCTATCCACCGCACCGCTGACCAGATATAGGCGACCCTTTTTGAACGCCACTCCACACGTGTCCTGTGAGCTCCATATGATGTTGGAGTCGAGGGCTTGGGCCTGACCCTCGTCTATTTTGTAGGTGTGCACCAGTTTGAACCGGTAGCCCACGCGCGTGTTGAATGAGCCGGGTATGGCCGAGAACAGCCTGTCCGATATGATCATGATTTTGATGATGAAGTTTGAGTTGCAGTAGTGATGAACCAAATTGTCATTACTTTCGCACTCCTCGTCCACGCATAGGAACTGCGGGTTTAAGGGTTGAGTACATACACAGCATAGGGTTGTAGGGAATTGCAGGCTCAACACTGTCACCAGGGTTAGGATTTTTAACAGTAAAAGTAACATGTTTACAAATTAAGTGATGCTAATGCAATTAAGTTTTGTAGTTCGTTGCACTTATTAATTATCTTAATGTTTACTTATTAATTGATTTTTAATTTGAAATATTTAATTAATTAAGAAATTATCTCGACCCTATTTTTTGTTTCATAATTCATAATTTATCACAAAAATCTAATTTAACACAACAGTTGTTTTCACAAAAACAATATATTTCATTATATAATGTAGTGTATGGTAACATAATTTTAGTAAATGATTCAATTAATTGGTGTTTGATTTTGACACAAATAATTTTTTGCTGCAATATTTTTTTATAGTGTAGGTGCAGCACTTGGAATATTCTGGAAATTTAATTGTAGTTCAGCCCTGGTAGAATATAATTTTTGTTTAAACACATCAGGGATTTAGTTTGTTTTACTATTTGTAATGCATTTTAAAAATTAATAATTTTGTGTCCTTGTTTTATTTGCATATGAAATATATCTGGGTCTCCTTCAACATTTTAATCACGATCACTTATAACATAACCCGGTTTATAAGTAGAACAAAATTAACTAAATTTTAAAAATGTTACTACTTCATTATCTACTTAACAATTTATTTGACTTTCCTTTACATATTTTATAACTATTATAAAATTTATTTAAATATTGTAGTTTTATTGAATATAAATATATCTTTTAATGAAATATAATTTATACTATAAAATAACATTTTATATTTAATCCATGCAAATTACCTCTTATACTGTAAAATAACTATTGTCTTACAAATTATTTTGTATGAGATATCTATGTATACCATTTTAAAAGGTAAATAAAATACATTATTTTGCTTTTACAAATACACCCTGGATGAATGCGTATTTTTTAGAGCAATCGTATCATAAGATATCAAATTTTATCGTAAATGATATGCATTTGTTTACCAATCAGTGTCAAGACTTTACAGATTTAAGGACTATTGATATAACAGTTAGTGTAAGGAAACGCATGTTTTAGTAAAATCTATTAATTAATGATTTATCGCAGACACTCATGTTAGAGATAAATTATTTCATAACTGTCCAAAATTGTATATTTAGTTTGACTATAAGCATTCAACAAATGATTCAATATACCCTCACCTTGTCTATCCCTGGGTTTAGTAAAACAAACCGATTTCTATCAAAATGTGAACTCAGTTTTAATCAAATTGTTAATATTTTTGAGATAAGGTATTAATTTTTGTTAACAGTATAAATATTGACCCAGTGCGAAATTTTATACAAGTTATCAACTAATTTACCATTTATATGTTGCTTAAAATTATAAACAATTACTGTAATTAAAAATAAAGTCAATATGAAAATGACTGAATATATAATAAATTCGGAGTTTACTATAGAAAACAAACTTAACTATCAATCAGTTATTGAATTACTTTGCGATCGACTAAACACAGACTCACATCACAATTGTTTTGTAAGTAAAACAAAAATATTTATAAATATATATTTATATAACTTTAAATACTCAACACATTTCAAGTATTGTATCTAAAAATTAAATTTTATTTACAAAATAACAGATTGACTGCACATTAGAGCGAAAGTGGAGCAAAAAGCAAGTGTTGGACTCGAGTCTCAATTTTGCCTATTATTTGATAAATGACTGCAAAATATCCAAAGGAAATGTCATTTGTTTCATCACAAACTCGTCGGACATTCAGGCAATCGGTTTCATCGGCTCTTTGGCCGCAGGGATGGTCTTCTGCTGTCTGGCGGAGCACTCATCACAAGGTTTGCCCAAACATTGTAATCACATTTAATTGAAAGTTGTTTTAACGTTAAAAACTTATCCATCAATAGATGAAATCAAATCAAACATTGAAAAACTTAAGCCATCAGTCGTGGTATGTTTCCAAAAGAATCAAACTCAATTACAGAAAATATGCAGTGGATTAACATTTATCAAGGTAAAAACAAATACTCAAATCAATCCATTGGGTTAGAAATTAACCTCAAATTATTTTTAACTAAAGAAACTCTTAATAAGTGACAAACAATCAAAACCGGACGCCAATGGAAATACACTTCAATCACTTGAGGAGATATTTTGTGAACCAAGAGATGATAACTTAGTATTACCGGTGAAGTCGGGTTTGGATGAGACGGCAACCTATGTCTTAAGCAGTGGTTCCACGGGTCAACCCAAGGCTATCATCAAAACTAACAGAAACCTATTGACAACGGTTGAGGCCCTTCAACACCCGGAGATGACTGAGTTGACACCAAATGAGATTCAGTTATCCAGTAACTTTAGTCACGTGTCGGGGCAGAGGTACCTCATATCTGCCATCAATGGTGGCGCACAGTTGGCCATTGTTAGGGTGGATGAGAACCTGGATGATGTTTACGGGAATATACATAAATACAACATTACCAGTGCTTTCCTAATCCCGACTCAACTCAATTATTTAGTCAAAAATTCTGAGACTATTGACAGGGATTACTTCAAGAGCCTAAGGGATGTGGTTACAGGTGCAGCACCTGTACCCGAGACCACTTTCCGGTGTGTTGTCGATAAGTTTAAGTTTAAAAAGTTTAGGATTTGTGAGTAAAAACATATTTATATTTTAAAACCCCTTATGTAATAATAAAAATAAAATGTTTTTATTTTAAACATAGGTTACGGTATGTCAGAGGTAGGGTGGACCACACAAACTCCTGTCACGCAATTTATAGACGATTACACGTGTGTTGGAAAAATGTGTCCGAACACACAAATCAAAGTAATCGATGATCAGGGACATTCATTGCCAGCTAACACTAGGGGTCAGATTTGCATCGGAGGTCCTCAGGTAAGTCCTGCGAACAGATCTTTAATTGAATACATGTTAAATAAAAATACACCCGTCTATAGGTCACACCAGGGTATCTAAACAATGCTGAGGAAAATGACAAACTTTTCACCGCCGATGGATTCCTCAAGACTGGAGACATTGGCTATTATGACGACAATCACTACTTTTATATTGTCG